TCTATCTTATTAAACTGTTATTTTCAGGTTTCCTGCCATTTAAAGGTATTTTGTGTGTGGCCAAAATAACTCAAAATACCGTGACTGAGCTCCTTTAAAGGTTTGCTTTATTTTGAAACGTAACTACACATTGCTTCCACTCTTTAGCAGTTGGTGAGTGCATAAATACGCTATGATGCTGTTTTGTAGTAAAAATATATTGGTTAGCTACATTATTCTACTAAGATAAATGATCAGACTTTTCTGACAAGTTGGCTTCATTTTCTTCGCTTCACTCGTCACAATCATCGAAAATGTATTGGTTGAAGTCTGTGTGGCCACACCCAATAGCCCTGCAAAAGATTAATGGCAGACATAAGGGAAGATGGGGAATAGAGATCCAGATTATAACAGAGTAGGGAGCTCGAGAGTAGGAGACAAGGCAAGGATGGCAGAATAAAAAACGGTAGAGTAATTTCTGTTTTTGTTGCATTGTGTTTCTTAATTCACTCCAAAAATGCAACTAATCCGTTGGAAAGAGTAGAAAAGTCCCTTTTCGACTTCTAGCCATCGCTAGCTTCCAGTTATTATCCTTCAAGTAATGAACCAAACTTTCCACAAGTCAGTGGTGCCAATTGCGAGTGTTGTACTTTATGCTATATCACGATCAGAGTTTTCAAACGATGGCTTAAGGTGGTCAACGTTTACTGCGAGAAAAGCTCAATGGAACATTGCTCACGTACACCGTAAAAGCGTCAATGCATTCAGAACAGTAACAGTGGAAAAAGAGTTACTTCCTGGTGGTCGCTGCCTTATCATTAGTTAACAGGACAAGCATTTTTTTAACTGATTTTCCGTCAGAAACACGTTAGAAAAAGTCAAGTTACTTGGTAACCACTCGCACTCTTGAAAGAAAAGTGAAATCCACAGGCTCACTTAATTCTATGCTAATTGTTTGAAGCCAAAAATGAGACTCACCCTTTTAGGATAGTTGAAAGCGTTCGTCATTGTTCTCGGGTGTGGATTATTTTTACGCAGTGGGGAGGTGGGGTGAGGTCCTTGTCTCGGATAGTTGCTCTCTCTAAAATTGGCTCTGTAAGTGGAGATCTCAATAGGATCCTTTGAGGGGTAATCGTATGGAGGTGGCCTGAAGAAGAAAGGAAATGTAGAAGAGAAAGAGAATTATGAAACTAACTATATTTGAATGAATACAAATATGCAAATATGAATGAATGCAAATGTTTTTTCTTCTCAACTAATTAGGTCTTACATCTTCATCTCTTAAATTCGATCATAGTCAAAATTGCTTGCCAAATGTCTTATCTTTGGAACTGGTAAATATTAAAAGACGAATATACTTGTATCTTGTACACAAATTATTTCGATTCGCGCACAGACCGTTTATTTCGCGCCGCCGTTACAGTCGATCACGCAATCTCTTTGATCAAACTTACTTGGCACTTGGTGCAGCGGGTCCAAATGTTCCTTGGAACTCGTCGCTGTACTTAGTTGCCTTATTTACGATGCGATAGTTGGAGTAATTAATTGGAGCTGAAAGTCAAAATGGAACAAAAGAAAAATGTTGTGATTCATGACGGCCGTGACAGGACAAGTTGCTATAATTGTTATAGATTTCTGGTTTAGTTAAGAAATGTTAGTATACTCACGCAAGCTGCTGGTGGATCTGTATTTGAATGAGTTTGGCGGATTCACCGGCTGATTGATGAAATCCTTTTGATATGTGGATTGTATTGGAGTTGCTGCAGATAATGAAATCAAGCTTCATTGAGCATTTACAATGTGAAAGCTACTGTTTAGTATGTTGCTTAGTGTGTGCTTTTATAATGCTGTGCATATAACGTGGTTCTGAGTCTATGCATGACACCCAGTGTG